ATCTGAGGATCATGGTTCAAAGCCAGCCCGGGCAGGAGAGACCGTGAGACTCCTATCTCCAATAAACCACCAGAAAACCGGAAGTGGCACTGTAGCTCAAGTGGTAGAGCGCTCGCTTTGAGCTGAAGAGCTGAGGGACAGCGCCCAGGCTCAGAGTTCAAGCCCCACGACCAACAACAACAACAAAAAAAACAGTTGGTGGGATAGTCATCGTTTCCACGTAACCCATTAATGCTTTGCTTTTCTTAAAAATCATGTGCTTAGAGAATCTATGTCGCAATCACAGTGTATAAAGATGTTAACTCTCCTCAGTGAAGATGCACTCACTCCGATGCAACTCTGTGAGTCTGTCACTTCGCCGACTCCGTGCCCCGTCCCGAGGTCCCTGTCCCGCCGCTCCCGGTGCCCCGGCCCAAGCACTCACAGCTGTGGCCCTGCCTACTGCTGGCCTGCGGGCCACAGCTGGACAGCTGTGTCCAGTGCAGCCGCTGTCAGGGAGTTCTTTAGTGAAACTGTTCCACCCCTGGAAAACCAATGTCCATACTCAGACTCCTGAAGCCTCCAGCGGACGCAGCTTACCCTGTGTCTGCACGGGCAGTGTGGAAAGGCCACCGTGCCGCGGAGGCGACCAGGGATGAGGCTTTACCACGCCGGGTGGAAGGAGTCGGGTGGAGCCACGTCCTGGATGACACCGTGACCGCCACCAGCAGAGCGGGAGCTGCGGGAGGAACAGACGAGAGGCTGCGGGTGGCAGGGTGGCAGGCTTCTTCTGGGTAAAATGTCCCAGAGTGGAACGTGGTGGCGGCTGCACACTCCTGAAAATGTCCTGAACGCTCAAGCATTGGCCACTGCAGGCCGCCAGTGAGCCACCTCGCCCGCATGCCCATGGGCTGTGGCTGTCGGTCACCAGGCTGCCCAAAGCCGCGAGCAATGGTGACCAGTGAGCCACAGTCCACCAGCCCACCAGAGGGGACAGGCGAGTGTCTCCCAGGCACCACAGTGCTGGAGAGGTTCTGTGCAGAGAAGACACGTGCGCGGCACAGCCCGGACAGTCAGCAGAGGCACCAAGGGCCTGGCCCTCCTCCAGTCATGGTGCCAAGCTTCGAACCGCGATCCTCAGCTCAGCCTCCTGAGTGGCTAGGGTTACAGGTGTGAGCACCGGCGCCCGGCAACCTGTCATCAGCCTGCACCCAGTGGCAGGGTCGCGGGCATGCACTGCCTTGTCCACTTGTTTTTCTCCACTTCTGTGGCTTGAACTCGGCCTGGGCGCTGTCCCTGAGCTTCTACTGCTCAAGGCTGGCGCTCCACCACCTGAGCAGCAGCACCACTTCCTGCCCGCCTTTATCATGTATGTGGGACTGAGGAATCGAACCCAAGGCTTCACGCAAAGCACCGTACCACTGAGCCACCTTCCCACCCTACCTCCTCACTTTCTTTTTTTTTTGGTCCAGTAGTGGGCCTGAGCTCTGGGCCTGGACTCTGTCCCTCAGCTCTTCAGCTCAAGGCTAGCGCTCTACCACTTGAGCCACAGCGCCACTTCCGGCTTTTTTCTTTTTGCTTATGTGGTGCTGAGGAATCGAACTCAGGGCCTCAGACATGCAAGGCAAGCGCTCTACCACTGAGCCACCTTCCCACCCTACCTCCTCACTTTCTGACACACGTCACTGTCCCAGTGTGCCCCAAGAGCGGCGGCTCCACCGACAGGCCGTCCGGGGTGGGCAGGGGGCAGCCCCGCAGGACCCGGGGCAGGCGCACTCACGGCACTTTGCTTCGGCAGGTGGGTGGACCAGAGTTCTCACAAGTTGCACTGGGTCATCTGTAACCTTGGGACACAGCACGACCATCCTCCCCTCGGCCTCTGGTCTATACCCAGGGGGAACACGGGAATAGCAGCAGGGCCCAGGGACCCAGCCCCACCGACTGGAATGAGAGCAGAGCCCACCGCGCGCTCCGGCGCCCACCGGACCCCCAACCTCAGCCACGGCCCAAGAGAACAGATCAGCAGCAGCTACACCCTCCGGCAACAAGCCGGGAACCCTCCACCTCAGAGCCCCAGCCGGCCACGGAGGGACCAGGCCACCCGGAAGGCGCAGACTCCACTCCCACAAAGCCAGACAGCACAGGCTCTGCTCCGGAGACGCCTGTCGCCTCACCACACTCCACAAACAGCAGAAGCAAAGCTGCTCTCGTAAGGCGTTTATTTTGTGGGGAGCTCAAGGTGGGTGATCTCCATGTAGGTCGTTCTTTCTGTGAGACAGGGTCTATGTAGTCCAGGCTGACCTTGAACTCATGATCCTTCTGTCTCACGTAGCTGGGATTGCAGGCGTGCATCACCACACCCACTGTGGGTAGAATTCGACCTCAGGAGTGTCAATTTCTGACTCAACAGTCATCATACACAGGCCTTAGCTCAAGGAAGGAACTCTCGAAGCTAGCAGAGAGCGCAGGAGCGTGCCCAGGTCCTCTGCCTTTATTCAGCCCGGCTCCAGCTTGTCCAGGACTGGCCGGGTGGCCTGGTCACTCCTTGCCTTCCGGTATCCGCGTCCGCTTCCCCTCTGGCTGCTGCGCTCCGGCCTTCTTCGCTCTGGCACCTAGCAGCTGCTGAGGCTTCTTCCTCCTTTTCCCGTGAGCCCCTCTCTGGCGGCCAGTCTCTGCCTGCTCTGCAGGCCTGCTCCTCTTCCTGCTCCTCTTCCTCTTGGTCTCCATGCCTGGGTCAGGACTCAGAGCCTCCTCCTCTCCTTCCCCTGGTGAAGCAGCCCAGCTGTGAGTGCACGCCAGCCTCCACACAGCCACGGCAGTGGGCAAGGGTGCTCACGCCACGGCAGTGGGCAAGGGTGCTCACGCCAGTGTGGACAACGTGGATGGTGCCGTGCCCCCAAGCCCAGGCCCCAGGGAGGACTGCAACTCCAGAAAGAGGACAGACCGGGAGGGGGGGGGTGGGCAGGGCCGTGGAACCAGTGTGGTCCAGGGAGTTACTGAGGTGACTGGCCAGAGCCCAGGCGCTGACTCCCAGGCCCCCAAAGGGACCCAGCAGCATTCCCCGGGGGGGGGGGGGGAGTGTGGCACACACGGGTTGCGGGTTACAGAAAAGGCTTTCCCACCCGGCCAGGGGCACCACCCCACACACCCACCGCCTGGGCAGAACACACCCCAAGCCCAGGCGGTGGCGTTACACACCGGCCACGCTCCTGTGGCCTCCACGCAGAGGGCCGGACGCCGCCAGGCAGAGCACAGGCCCCTGCAGGGCAGTTCCAGCCGGTGGCAGCCTTCAACCCATGAGCAGTGCCCAGCACAGCGGGCACCAGGCTGGTGCCCACCAGGGGGGACAGCGAGGCAGCTCCCCTGCCTCCTCATGCCTCCAGGCCTACCTCCCTCCTGGGGTGACAGAGGCAAACTCTTCTTCTTCTTCTTCTTCTGCTTCCGCTTACGCCTCCCTTCTAGTAGCTTCTTGTAGGCTCTCTCCGGGACGTCGTCCTCAGGGAAGCTGCCTGGGAAGGCGAGGTGGGCTGGGCGCATGTGCACAGGGCCGCAGCACTGCACAGGGTGACCCTGGCCAGAACCAACCCGTCCAGTACCCATCCTTCGCACCCACGCCACCCCAAAGCCAATTCCTGGAGCTATATGAGGCCAAGGTCTACAACGGCCTGGGCTGGGCGTGAGGAGACGCGGGCAGGAATGAGGCCACACCCTGGCAGGCCCCTGTGCCTGAGAAGCCAGGCCAACAAGCGCACGTGCGACCACCTGCACCCACAGATGCCTTGTGTGATTGTGGCTAAGAATCCCAGGCTTCTCTGCCAGGCTGGCTTTGAACAGGCCTCCTCAGATCTCAGCCTGCTGAGTAGCTACGCTTACAGGCGTGCGCCACTGGCAGCCGGCATCATACATGTATTTTAGGCATCAGGATAGGTGAGCTGGGGGGTGGGAACAGTTCCCCAGGCCAGCGTGTAACAGACAAGGTGTCACCCATGGCATCTGCAGCTGCTGCATAAATGCCCTTCAGCTTGGCTGCAAAACCTTCCAAAACCTCCAGGGAGCTTGTGCAGGTCAAGTAAGTATACACCACACCAGAGTCTGGACACCTTCCCTCCCCACCCCCCAGGCCTGTGATGGATGCATGCCTGTGACACCTCTGTGCAGATGGAGAAGGCTGGTGGCATCCCTCAGCCCACCCTGCTGCCCCAGACACCATTCGCACCATGATAGGATATGCATTCGTGCGTGCGTGCGCGCACACACACACACACACACATACACACACACCCGTGGGTGGCCACTCAAGTGTCCAACCCGATCCTCACCTCCAGCCAGCTCCTGAAACCTGTAAGAGAAGACAGACACTGAGCAATAGCCCGGCTGTGCGGGGGGACGCGAGTGGCAGCGGACAGAGCTGCGGGGCCAGCGAGGGGCCTGCAGACACCCCCTGCAGAGGGCAAGCAGCCTGCGCTCCCGCCCACCCCACTGCGGTCACTGGAGGACAGCGCCCAGAGAGCGTGCGAAGCACAGGCAGCCGGCCTGCACCGGCTTCAACTCACTTCCGGATCACTTTGTAGAGCCGCTTCCTGTTCTGGGAAGGGATGCTCTCCTGACTGGCCAGCTCGAACAGTCTGTTAGCAACTGCCTCGTAGTCAAACTGTTTCAGAGAGACGTGGGATGGGATGGGATTGGGGGAGGCGCGAGGTCAGCCGCCTCCCCAGACCATGACCATGCAGGCCTCTCAGGTGGGAAGGTACTGGGTCCAGCACTGGCTTCTCTGCTCAACCATGATGCCATGTGCTGTCCCAACCCTTCTGGACAAACGGCACTGTAGCCGGGACGTGCCATGCTGCTGCAGGGCGGCGCAGCGCAGCGCAGCCCAGCCCAGAGGCACAGCACCTATGGCCTCAACCCGCAACCTCTGCCAGAAACGGCGGCGCCAGCGCAGTCACGGGTACGTTTAAAGCCCCATAACACAACCCGACAGGGTTTCAACCAAGGGACCAAACCTTCCTTGACGGGCGCGACAATTCCCACCTGCCGCGCCACATACTGGCCACTCAATGCGGCCGCCTCACTGAAGCCCAGCATGCCCACGAGGGGCCAAATGCCAGGGGAGGAGGCGCCAGGCGCCGCAGGAAGCACAGGATGCCACGAGGCGAAGTCGGGCCTGGCTTCTGTGCACCTCAACACCTGGCTGCCGTGGACAAAGAGACGCAGGGAACCCCCTCCCCTCCAACCCCCCACCCCCGTCCCTTGGCCTACCTGAAGTACGGGGCCAGTGTTCTCCCCATCCTCTCCCGTCTGCCCCTTGCCCACCTCAGGGTCAGCCCTACGGGTGGAGCCTAGAACAAGAGACCAAGAACCCAGAGCTGCGCCCAGTGTGTGCGACTCCAGAGCCAGCCTGGGCACCCAAGGCCCCGTGCGCCTCGCGTGTCGGGGAGCGTGGCGAGACGGCCCAGGATGTCTTGGGAGGCGCCTGTGCCGTCGGAGGCCTTCACGAAGGCAGCAGAGGTGGGGTCCGAAAGCCCAGCCTCAGGTAGACCCTTTTGGCACCAGACCCAACAGTGAACAGAGGACCGGAGTCAAGGCTCCAGACACGGCCAGGCCACGGCCACCGCTGCTGGCTCTGCACAGCCATTTAGAAGCAGTGCGTTCGGCTGTGCCTTTACCCTCCCCGCTCTGTCAGGCTCGACCGCAGCCTGGGGCAGAGCGGCCATCAGAGCACAGCTTCCATCCCAGAGGGGCAGGACCAGGAAGGAGGACCAGAGAAGTGACTTATGGAAGGCAACAAGGCAGAAGGCTGTGGTACAGCACTCGCCTTGCATGCGCAAAGCCCTGGGGTCCAACCCCAGGCCCAGGCCCCAAAAGCAGAAATATGTACGCTAGGTGTCCAGAGAATGACAGGGAGACAGAGACCCAGGGGCAAGGTACCCAGGCAGCTGGGCACCGGAGCAGCCCGTGCCAGCACACGTGTGGGAGCTGCAAGTGGCGAGCACGCACAGCGGGGCTGAGACGGGGTCAGGGGAGCAGAGGAGATGTGTGCTGTCAAGGACTGTGGGCCAGGCACCGGCGGCTCACCCCTGTAATCCCAGCTACTCAAGAGGCTGAGATCTAGAGGCTCACGGTTTGAAGCCAGCCTGGGCAGAAAAGTCCTCAAAATTAAATCTCCACTTAACCAGCCAACATGCTAGACTGGAGGTGTGGCTAAGTGGCAGAGCATCGCCATGAGCAAGAAAGCAGAGCGAGATCTCAAGCCCCACATTCAAGCTTCATTACCAGTACACACAGGCGTACACACACACACACAGCTTAATTACCAGTACACACAGGCGTACACACACACACACACACACACACACACACAGCTTCATTACCAGTACACACAGGCGTACACACACACACACAGCTTCATTACCAGTACACACACACACACACAAATACACACACACACGCAGTCTTCCGCCTCTGTGCCACAGTGGACTACAGGTGAAAGAGCCACGGGCCGGGGCGGCAGTGGGAGCCGCCCTGGGGAGCTCCGGGGCTGGCCGGGCCGGTCGTGGAGGCGGTGTGTGTGCTGGGGTCCTCACCTGCAGACAGGCTCCCGGATGGCGCGTCCTGTCCACGCTCAGCCTCGGCACCATCATCATCGTCATCATCATCATCGTCGTCATCACCAGCCGAGCCCTCATCCTCTCTGCTCTGCGCATCCAACTCGCTCATCAGGTCTTCGATGGCCAGCGGGGCCTGCTCCACGATCGCCTCCAAGATGCCCCGGGTGATGTTATGCAAGACCAGGGAGCTGAGAGAGGCAGCGCACACGGCCTGTCGCGCGGGGCTCAGATCCCGGGCAGCACCACCCCACCACGCCCCACAGCCCCGGCGGCCACACTCACTCCTGCGTGCAGGCAGCAATCCTGCAGAAGGGGTCGATGAGCTGCAGGTTCTGGTCCGCGGTGAGCTGCGGGGAAGGACGCAGGAGAGGTGGGCGGGGTCAGTCCTGGGCACAAGCACGGAGCCCGCCGGCCGCGGTCGGCGCCTCACCTCTGCAGCGCCCACTTTGCTCAGCTCCTCCAGGAAGATCTCCAGGAAGTGGCTCTTCACCCCATTGGGGGCCTCGCTGTCCGGGTGCAGGATCTCGGTGGTCAGCAGATCTAGCAGCTGCTCAACCAGTCTGAGGAAGAAAGAGGACAAGTACAGCAGCAGGCCCCCGGGGCCCCTGCTCCCTATGACCCAGGGCCTGGTGAGAACACACCGCCCCTTCCACACTGCAGGTGAACCCCGTGGATCGTCCTTGCAGCACAGAGAAGTCCCGCAGCCACAGGGTTATGAGGCCACACTGCACCCTGCGCAGTGTGTCCCAGGGACAGTTTGTCCCTGTCCCATGGAGAAAGGCTCCACCCCCTGCAAGTGGTCCTCTCTGTCCCTGGGGGCAGGTACCGCCTGGGCAGACGTGTTGGGTGAGGACAGTGTCCAGCAGGGTTGATGCCACAGGCCACCTGACATATCCCAGAAGCACTGCACGAGCACTGGCTCCACGCCATGCAGGCAGTAGCACTGCACGAGCACTGGCTCCACGCCATGCAGGCAGTAGAGGCACGCCACTGCTCTTCTGGGCACCCAGGGCTGGGTCAGAGCCCAGAGAGCGCGAGATAGGAAGCCGTCTAGGCGCACCCCAAACTAGAGTGCTGACAGAGAGCGCGAGATAGGAAGCCGTCTAGGCGCACCCCAAAC